GTTCCGACACAAAGGTGTCACCCTTACCTAACCTCAGCGATTAGGTTTTCCATTTAATTAACATACCCTCGTATGATGTAGTAAAGAGACATCTGTTGCGAGACGTTAATTTAGGTGCGTTGCTGCATGTGCTTTTAATCACGTAATATTTTGTAAGATACGAAAAAGCTTGAAAGCATGCCAGCAGCGAGTAACATTTCATTAAAACTGTTCATAACCTCTGAATAGTGGGTGACCTAACGGGTCGCGGTGGTCTAGTATCATCTAAATTCGAATTCAAGTTATTTTTAAGATTATTTATTTTTGCTTATTGTATTGTTGCGTTGCTATAAGTTATTTTTTCAGGCCCCCCAGTGGCACAGCGGTATGTCTGCGGACTTACAACGCTTGAAACCGGGTTTCGATACCCGTGGTGGGCAGAGCACAGTTAGCCCTTGTGTAGCTTTGTGCATAATTAAAAAAAAGCAAAAAAACAAATATTTTTTCAGTAATAATATATCAAATAAGTTCGTGTAATTTGAATTGTGATAGCAAATTTCTTGGGATTGTTCACGTTTTATGTATTGTATTGTTGTAAGTTATGCTTTTCCATGGTAACGTATCGAATAAATTCGTGTCAACTAAGCTGTGTTTGCGAGTGATTTGGAATTGCTTATGTATGCTGTTGTATGGTTGTGTTATTTTATGTTTTTGTTTTTTGAATTTCGCGCAAAGCTACACGAGGGCTGTCTGCGCTAGCCGTCCCTAATTTAGCAGTGTAAGACTAGAGGGAAGGCAGCTAGTCATCACCACCCACCACCAACTCTTGGGCTACTCTTTTACCAACGAATAGTGGGATTGACCGTCACATAATAACGCCCCCACGGCTGAAAGGGCGAGCATGTTTGGTGGGACTTGGAACCCGCGACCCTCAGATTGCGAGTCGAGCGCCCTAACCTCCTGGCCAAGCCGGGCCCGCCATTTGTGAATCTTCTTAACACCAACTTACGTCAAAGATAATATATGCTCAAAAACAGCAATAATGATGGGTGGATGAGGTCGTGAATCCTCATTAACATGCCCCTTGTTCCAAACTACCATTCCACAAAGTTTGGTTGAGATTAGCTCAGCGACCTAGGAGTTGTTAGATAAAGGACAAACAGACAGACACACAGATGTTTGTGCTTTATGTATATATGTATATAGAAGAAGTTCTTGTGTTTCACAAACATACGGACATCTGTTGTAATATTAGTCCTTCATTGTTTCGATAACTCATTAACTATCTGCTGAAAGTAAAATAACGTCTTTCCTGTCAATATAGGTAAACAACATGCTGAAAACCCTTACATCTATCTTATACAATGTTTTACAATAGGGCCTAGCATGACCTGGTGGTTAATACGCTCAAGTCGCAATCTGAGGGCTGCGGGTTCGAATTCTCTTTACTGAATATGCTCGCCCTTTCAGTCGTGAGGGCGTTATAATATGACAGTCAGTTCCATTATTCGTTAGTAAAAGAGTATCCCAAGAGTTGGCTGTGGGTGGTGTCGACTAGCTGCCTTCCCTCTAGTTTATCACTGCTAAATTAGGGGCAGCTAGCGCAGATAGCTCTCGTGTAGCTTTGCGCAAAATTCAAAACAAACAGTTTTACAATTCTTTATACTCTTCTAAAACATTCTAGGAACTAGTATTACAGCAGAATGTCCATAGATGAAATGTGGTGTTTGCGGTAACTATGACCACGAAACTTAACTTCCGTTGTTATATTTTCGCCCTCTATGTCTATTCTAGGAACTTGTATTACAGCAGAATGTCCATAGATGAAATGTGGTGTTTGCGGAATCCAAACCACGAAACTTAACTTCTGTTGTTATATTTTCGCCCTCTATGTCTATTCTAGGAACTAGTATTACAGCAGAATGTCCATAGATGAAATGTGGTGTTTGCAGAATCCAAACCACGAAACTTAACTTCCGTTGTTATATTTTCGCCCTCTATGTCTAGACATCTCTTGGGAGTAAGGTTCATAATTTACAGTTTGTGTTGAATTGCGTTTTTAGGATATGTTGAATTTTCTCACTTTAATATGTATATAAGGCTTATCACACTTTGTAAGTGTTGTGGCACTAGAAATTCCAGCTGTAACAAGTTTAATACCTATGTACTTTGAACTAGGCGATTTTCCGACCTTTTACCAGTACATTACTGCTAGGTTTGACTTATGACTGGAGTACTTTGTTACAAAAATTTTCGACGCAAGATAATCATATAGAAGATTGTTGAACAATATAGAGCAAAGCGACACGACATTCCAAAAATGGAGTCTTAAATGTTCTACATAGAAACGAAAAAATATATAACACGGCAGAACATTTAGGACAGCAAGAAGTTCCGAAGTTGATCTAGAGAAATGCCAACAGTTACGAAAGAAAATTTTCCGACCCAAGTTGTCTTTGTATTGAAGTTGGATGCATCACTGGCACCGGTAAAACTTCGAGCATCTCCTTGAAAGGTTTTCATAAGAAATGTAGCTGAAGGAGCTCAAATCACAACAACCCATTCGTACCTCTCGTGTGGCTCAAATTACAACAAACCAATTCGTACCTATCGTGTTCCTCGATTCAGTTACAATTGACTTTTGTACCTTGGCCAAAACCTGGTCTTCGAACCAACGTCCACTTAAAGTGAAAGGTTTGTGAAACGTCCTTGACATAAGTTGCTTAGAGTGGAAATTGTGGTCTCGGGGAATGGTGCATCAGACAGAACAAGGAGGAATTTGTTCCAAAGGCAGCACAGGATCTGGAACACCATACTCATACAATTAGCTTTCAACAGTGTTTATTGTTAAACACAAACTGTACAATGAGCTGTTATAACTCTAAGACTTATTGCTGATCCACTCACCCATCCTCTTCTCTCCGCCTTTCAGTAGTACAAAACAAGTTATCCGCTTTAGAGGTGTGCTGACCCATGATCTAAAGTTAAGACATGGATGACAGCAAGGTACAAAGACATTAGAAAGAGCACCATAGATAAGGATATAGATAACAAGTTATCCACTTCAGAGATGTGCTGACCCATGATCTAAAGTTGAGATATAGATGACAGCAAGGTACAGGGACATTAGAAAGAGCACCATAGATAAGGATATAGATAACAAGTTATCCACTTCAGAGATGTGCTGACCCATGATCTAAAGTTAAGACATGGATGACATCAAGGTACAGGGACATCAGAAAGAGCACCATAGATAAGAATAAAGATAAATAGTTTAATTAAAGAAACATGCATACTCTTATTTCCATAACTTCCACATCTGTGTATAGTTCTTCAGACACAGTGACTAAAACTTCTGGTAGTTATAGAAAACACGATGTAAATGTGGAACACCAAATAAAAACTAAACTAGATATGCTGTTATAAAGAATATACATACAACTTAAAAATTCGTGCGAAAACTGTTTATTCTACAGATTGGTCATATACTTATTTTAAAAAAAGTTATATTTTCCTTATTATTTTTCTGGAGATCTATAGTCAATGACATAAACATTTGTGCAAGTCTTACAAGTTGTATCACTACTTATTCTTAACTTTCCCTAAGTCTATTATTCAATTGTACTTTGTTTATATTTAATTGTCTTTCCCTTTACCAGAAGCCCCTCCTAGTGGCATAGTGATAAGTCTGCAGACTTATAACGCTAAAAACTGGGTATCGATACCTGTGTTGACACAGCACAGAAACCTTTATGTGTAGCTTTGTGCTTAACAAACAGACTATACTTGAAAATTACATCTGTTCTACGAATAGGAGAGTTAAGCCTTTATTGCAAAAGTACAACTGTTCTACGAACAGAAAAGTTAAGCTTATAACTTGGCTGTTAGTAAACTGTACAGCAAAGCGAGGAGTAGGTTTAGAACAGCAATTTGAAACCGTGTAAATCTGGAAGGGTCAAGTACAAGTTTGACCTCCTGTACTGATGTTTAGTTTTCATTGTTTAAATGTTGAACGCCACACAAAAGAGGGTGTTGATTTCACATAAAGTCAAGATATGAATTCAGTACCCCTATCAGGGCCATGTCCATTTATGCACTACGTTCATCATTCACACTGGTATACACTTCGCTATTTATTTCACACTGGTATACACTTCGCTATTTATAATCCCATATATTACAATGTCTTTTCATTATGTAGCCTATATTATACATATTTACACAAATACCCTATTAATACACCACAATAATGGTGAATTGGGCAATTCTAGCAATAGGTGGCTGATTACTAAACTTGTAATACATATTTATGGGTGAGGGATACTTAGACTCATTTCCATCGTGTATGATATAGCGATCTAGTGTGCGTAATAATTCATTTTTTTGTAAGTTTTTCTTGAAATAAGTGAATGATCTGTTTAGAAGTCTATCACAGAGTGGCTGTATGTTTGTATAGTTATGTAGAAAGCGGGAGTTTGTTTGAAACTGCAACTAAATCATATAACTGTTTGTTGAATTTCGCGCAACACTACGCAAGTGCTATCTACGCTAGCCGTTCCTAATTTCTCAGACATGCAACCAAACCAAGGTAAGTATTTGAAGTTTAACTTTTGATGACAAATACAGGGAGCATTATCTTTCAAACGATACCTCATTCGAAGCTGTGTATATTGTATCTGTATCAGATAGATAGAATGTTTACGTCCTCTTTAATAAGATATATGGCTTTATAATTGTATCTTGTTGATATAATTTTTAACTTTCATTTTAACAATATATATTGCCTTATTGTTGTATCTTGTTGATATAATATTAAATTTCCACTTTAACAATATATGTTGCTTTATTGTTGTATCTTGTTAATATAATTTTTAACTTTTCTGTCTCAAAAATTATCTTAGCTGATTTTATTTCTTAAATTTCTCTGACGTTTTAGTACTCTTTTTCTTGTAAAATAAAAAACATGAGAAAAATAAAGGTTTAAGTTTAGTTTTCTCGGAAACAAATACATCCAAAGCGAACAATGATTCACAATATTTATTTGTATTGATACATTCATTCTCAGTCCATATTTCATTCGTGACCTCCCGAAAAAAAATCCGTCATTGAGATTCTACATTTAACACTTCAATATATCCACGTAAATATAGCAAGTTCAGTAACAAAACTGGGCGCCGAGTCGATGGATTTCAATGACGTAGGTACTTCCCGTGCATCAAGTGTATAGAACATTAAACATGAACGGCTGGAAAACGAAAACTTTTGGGCCCATAAAAATACATATTTGAGATTCTAGCATATGTAACTTAATCCATAAAATTAGAGATTGCTGCTATATTAGGAATTTAATCACTTTCTTAAAAACAAAACAATGATTATAACTTTAACACCATCAGTCATTTCATCATTCACTCCTCCGATATTTCCTTGCCTGTAGACTCCTGGCGTCTACTTTTTAACGGTCCTAGATTCGAAAGAAAAATAACACGTAGTTAACATGTAATCTAATAATATTTTTCTAACTGTTTTTCTATCTAACTACCAATGAAAAGTAACCATTTATATTATTAGAACGTAAATAAATACTTATTTTTAGTGATGAAACTTAGTTGAATGGACGGCAACTGCCTGTTATAGAAACACAAGTGTAGAGAACGACTTTTCGAAAGTCTTCTGCCTTTCGTCATGTGTAATAAGACAAAGCTACGACAGAAATAATTCCAAGTCTTTCGCAATACAGAAAAACAAGTTAGTAGGTAATGATTCTCTTCTCTTTTATAAAGCATTAAAACTACAATAATAAAGTTATGGCTTTGATATATACTCATATAAACTAACAGCATATGTTAGTTGAAATATCCACGGGTGCTTTAATCCATTGTTAATGTTTAAATTTCATATTTATGTTTATGTTTAAGTAGTATCAACATCGAAAAACAAACATATTAGAATATTTATATTTCTTATTACTTGTAGACAAGGGTTGATTGTCCGCAGTACAAATAGTAGAATCAAGGTTCCCTTTGTGCTTTCAAGATATTATATGGATTACATCCTGTACTGTAACAAGGATGCTGTGCAAATTCATTCGAAATGAAAATGCAGACCTATAGATAAAATCAACACAGTACATCTGTAGTCTTTAAATTGAACGTGCAACGTTCTTGAATTCTTAAGTAATATTATGTACTAATAATATTTAGACTTCAAGAAATGCTTGATAGTTTCACTTTTATAGTTATGTTTTGTGGTTGAGCACCAATTATTAATATAAAGGCTATTTTATGTTCTATTAAGAAACCTTTTAGTATTGTATAAGTTTAACACCACTGTAAAATTGATTAATAGGGAAAGAAAAGCTCCAAGCAACAATGACGACAGTAGAATAACTGACAAGTTCCTTTTTTTTTACTCTACCTTATATAAAAGCTGTAGAGAAGGCTTAACGAGCTGACTCTATGGACATTCGGTATAGATTAATGCTTTAATTATTATTGTATTTGCTATAAAACATTGCTACTTTAGGCTAAGGAAATGGTGCATAGTTCACACGATAAATGCAGTGATATTGTTATTATTTGTTAATTAACAATCATTTTTCACTTAGATACAGCCAATACAGAAGACTCTTTGTCTACTTTTGGAAAATTTAAAACCGATGTTTAGGTTGGAAGAATTATATAAACCTCCAGTTTGAAGAGTATATATATATGTATTTCTCGTTTTTTTTACGAATGTTTAAATAACTCACTGAATGTTAAATAAATAAGTGATTAAAGTTTAAGTATGTTAAAAGCAAAAAATTAAAGGATTTTTTCAATGATAACACAATGCTGATTATTACCTTGCATTCCTGATATTTCCCACATGTTACTACTTGCTTCAACTGGGGGAATGGGCCAGATCCTATTCAGACTGTCAGTGTATGTGCCTCTTTTGCCCCACATTCCTGATAGGTTATTCCAGCCTCGTTTGCCCCACATTCCTGATAGGTTATTCCAGTCTCTTTTACCCCACATTCCTGATAGGTTATTCCAGTCTCTTTTACCCCACATTCCTGATAGATCATTCCAGTCTCTTTTTCCCCACATTCCTGATAGATCATTCCAGTCTCTTTTTCCCCACATTCCTGACAGATCATTCCAGCCTCGTTTGTTTACAGTTTCAGAAGGGTTGTTCCAGTTCCGTTTGCCCCACATTCCTGACAAGCCATTCCAGTCCCGCTTGCCCCACATTCCAGAAAGACTGTTCCATCCCTTCTTTTGGAGTTTTTGGTCTTCGATTCTTGGAATAACAACTTCTAAGTCTGGGCCATTTTCTGGAATATTTCTCTCTGCCAGAACGGCCAAGATACACATACAAAGGAAACAGCCAAATCCAATGGTTATAGCATGCATTATGTCTGGAAAATACAAAGTGATATTACACTCAGAAACGTATTGGATATCATGCAATAAAACTGAGAACTGTGATATAACATGAATTTTCTCTGAAATATTTGTTTAGTGTTACCACAGATTTATAGTGTTTCAGATTTCTAATAAAGCTTTTGTTTAATTTAGCATGCTTATACTGAATCATATTGTCCCAGATTGAAGAAAAAGGTTAGCGCAGAAGTCTAGTTATTTGATGTTTTAAATATAATTTACATCTTTATAGCAAATAACCTTTTCTCCTGATTATAATTTAATTTGACAGTTAATCTAGTCTCGCCTGTCTCGCATTTAATAAAAAAAAAGTAAATTTATTCTATGAAAACGTAGAAGACGTAACTACGTCTTTATTATAACTGTTTTGGATCTGCTTTTGATCGAAAACCTTAATCAAAGTATTGAATTTTGTTATTTTCTTATGAGATCTGGTCTTCATAATTACTCCCCCCCCCCCGATGAGTATGCTATCTTATAGCGTTAAAGGTTTGCTTGTTTGTAATCAAGCACAAAGCTACACAATGGGCTATCTGTGCTCTGCCCACCACGGGTATCAAAACCTGGATTCTAGCGTTGTAAGTCCGCATACGTACCGCTGTGCCACTATAGCGTTAAAATCGCGTTTCGAAATCTGCAGTGAATGGAGCACAAAACTCCATTGTTTGACTTG